AATTACTCCACTAATTTGTAATAATTATTATTAGTACAAAGATTACTATTAAAGATACTCAATCTTATTCAATTCCTTCGATCGATTTGAACCAACAACGTCTTCCAAAAACAGAGTATATAACCAGAAATAGAGACGAAATAAGGGCCATGTATTTCTAGTAACACATTAGGGATACAGCTCTTATAAACAACAACTCTCGTTTGCACTGAAATATAGACAGGCCAACTACTGACCTGTGTGTGTACGTCTCCGTATATTCCAAAAAAATATTTATTGTAATAAAGATAATATCTCTAACAATGCCGTGCTGTTCTATTCGGTGGTGTGGGAAAAACAGCAAAACATCTAATTACGAAACAAACGGAATCACATTTCATCGGTAATAGAATATTAAATATGTAATTTTCAAAGCTCAAGTTAACTTGTCGATTTGAAGAGAAACAATTGACGAACCCCGACAATTGTTTGGAACTCGGGCTAGCCAATCGGAGCGCAGTTGTCACAGTAATGATTTGGCATAATAGTTTTCAAACAAATTAAATGACATTTCGTCTCTATTTCCGGTTATATACTCGATATCCAAAAATAAAGATCTGCAAAAAACACAAGGCAAAAGTTCGTAGGTTTCGCTATCTCATTCCGTGTCTTAATTGGCAAAGCGTCGGGCAATATATATTTTTATGAAAAATAGTGATAAACATATTATTAATACGAGGAGCAAAAATAACCTGACGGTTCTGACAGTTGTCTTCACGAATTCATTTAAGGGGCAATGTACGAGTATACGCTTCTATAATAAGATTCCGGTTGATATCCAAAATTTGCCATTTATGAGGTTTGAAACTATAGTGATATATTTATATATATAGATATATTTGATTATATATGATATATTTATAGATATATTTGATTCCACTTCCCCACCTTCAGGGTACAACGCTGACGCTGCAGGACAAGCTCAGCCTACTGGGGATGAGCATCCGGAAGGACATGAGCAACAAAGAGTATATCGAGAGCGTCATCTGTACCGCGTCGCGCAAGGTTGGCATCCTGAACAAGGTGCACCGATTTTTTACTCCAGAGCTGCGATACCTGTTGTATAAAGCTCAGGTCCGAAGCAGCATGGAGTACTGTTCGCACCTTTGGGACGGCTCTGCCAAGTACTTGCTCGATGCCCTAGATGGACTGCAGCGCTACGCCTTCCGTGTTGTCAACGATCCTCATGTAACTGAGCATGCGGAGTCGTTACAGCTTCGCAGAGATATAGCGTCTCTTAGCGTATTCTATCGCCTGTACCACGGTGAGTGCTCTGAAGAGTTATTCAACCTTATCCCTTCCTCTCCTTTCCATCAGCGGACCATCCGTGCCGGACTGCGTTGCCACAGTTGGACGGTCAGTTCAATACCGTCCAAAAAAAAAAAGTTTGGCAATTCGTTTTTATGCCGAAGCATCAAACTGTGGAACCAACTCCCGGCGCATGTATTCCCTCCCCTCTATAACATCGGGTCCTTCAAACGTAGTGTGAAGAAGCATTTGGCCAGACCGGCAAAATGATAGTGACGGAGTGAAGATATTTGTGTTTTCCATCCGTTACTCTCATCTCTGGACTGTATTCGCACTTTCCATCAGGCGCGGTGCAGTCATTTTGCCGAGTCACAATAAAAAAAAAAAGTGAACCAAAAACTTTATACTGAAGGTCAGTATAGAGCTTCTGCGTTTTTGGATGACAAGAATCCATGATAGTGACCCGTTTAGTTCTTGCAGATTGTCTTGGTCTACCGTATATGAAATAAATATTGTAAATGTATACATATGTTTATTTACTAAGAGCAACTTCACGGGAGCAGTGGTAGTGCCCCTTATCTTTGATTTAAAGTTCTGAGTGGTACAGCAACTTCGTCACGTTACTTGATATTATAAAATATATATAAATATGAAACATAAAAATCTTTTATTTAAAAGTGCACATTAACAATAGATCAATTATGTTTTTGAGCATCAAAAAAATATTGTCTCGATAAATATTATTAAAATTTTACAAGTTTCCACACATATATAAACACATAAATAAACAAAGTAGGTCGATTATGCTAGTGATAATTAGTTAACTCAGTTGGTATTCTTTGAGCCTTGACTCCATCAGACTTCTATGATAGTGACTATTAATCCGACCATCAGACAGCTTTATTGACGTCACGTGATAGCTGTATTTGCAATAAATATGGACAGTGACGAACAAAAAGATTTATTGAGTTATGCAGATCGTTAAATTATGATAACTTGACATTTGAATCACATTAAACTATCACTGGTATTAGATGAAAATTGCTTTGATTTTAAACTTCTGAATAAACAGGGAAACTTTAAGAATAATGTTTTCCTGATAGATTAGTTTTTATTCGATTGAGAGAGCAGAGCCAGGAAACTTATTGGCGACGATAAGCTCGAATCTAAACTTCATAGTTTAGCCCACCGACGCAAATTTGTCCATCTGTCGGTTTTCTACAGAATATATTTCGGTGAGCTCACGGTGCCCGTGCCATCAACTCATCCCGTTCGCCCCGTTTTACCATTGGACATCCAGACGTACGTGTATCATCCTCACTTGGTCGATATTCCCTTCAGGTGTACAGTATCAGGTTTTCGAACTCATACAACCCGAGTATCTTTAAAATGCGACTGAATAGGCATCTTCTGGGCGAATTCGTTCCATCGTAGATCCCATCTTGCTCCAGAGCTAGGTAGTGAAAAAAGGAGGAGGTTCTCAATTCGACTGTAGGTTTTTTTTAATCGAACCCGGAGCCTCTGCGTGGCAGTTCAGCATGGTAACCGTTCGGCCACGGAGGCAATTAATAAAAAAAGGAGCGGTAGGACATTATCTCTCTCCGACTAACTATCGCAATTAACATTAAGCATTTAAGCTTCCCTTCTAGAGCTTATAGGTCGCGTTAAACTGGTTCTATCAAAAGAGTTATATGCATATCATTAAAAAGTTACACATTAGTGGATGTATGCTAGATTGTTGTTGATTGTTGATAGTTACGACAAAAATGGGTAGAGTAGAAGGACATTTGAAACGACTACATATAGATTGAGTAATTTAAAAATGACATTTTGTTAGCTAATAAATTCTCCAATTTATTGTTACCTCTGTCTATATTAAATACTTTAAAAGCATTTTTTGATATTATCGACATCGATCTTTCGCTTCGCTGTGAATATTAATATTAAGCATTTTCAAATATTATTTTTAAAATAAATATAAGCATGCCTCTGTGTATTTACGAACATTTCAAAGAGTTGTTTTGGTGTAACAAGGGCACATTTTTGTTTCTTTATTGTTATTCTACTTACGTTTTAAATAGCAAAAATTTAGTTGATAATAGCATTATAAATGAGTCACGTTAGTGTAATTATTAATATTATTTTTTGTTTCTATTCTTCTTTATTGGTTTTTATTTGTTTCGTTTGTAACTTTTAATTTATTTGCCTAGATGGTGATGGTGAGTGTACGGTCGAACCAAAAATGTTTTTTGTTACACCGTTAGCAGCCTAGATTTAAGTTTTTCTTTTTGTACCTGTTTCTTAATAAATAAATAAATCTGCAACGTGACAATTTTCCAGGAGATTTCCGCATAGCAGTGAAATTGTTGAAGTAATCACTTTGGAAAAATATATAGTAAAATTGAGCACTTACACTGATTAATATACAGTGTTAAAAAAAACAAGATACCTAAAAATTTTCTCGATAGAAAAATAACACAAACTTACCTCGAAATATCGAGTTCTTAGGTTTTCGCGATTGTTACACATAGGAAATGAAACTATTTTTCCGGATTTAAATCGCGTATATTTGTTTTTTCAAACAAACCGACGTTTCGGGCCATGGCGTTGACTGTCAACCGTGACCATGGGACCTGTAAAGGGCCCGAAACGTCGGTTTGTTTGAAAAAACAAATATACGCGATTTAAATCCGGAAAAATAGTTTCATTTCCTATTTACCTCGAAATTTTACAAGAAAACCGGTGTAATCAATAGGTACTTTACATATACCAATGATTTTTTTATACTAACTGAACTAAATAGCACACGTATACTACATGATATACATTTTGCGGAAGGCTTCAATTTCGTTTGTAAAAAAAATAAATTCTGAAATGAAGCTAGTGTTCCTGCCGCTCTACCGAAGCAAAATGACTCGTATTACGTACGACGTAACCGTTTGACGTATTATCGCATGTGTTTTTTAACCGACTTGAAAAAAGGAGGAGGTTCGCAATGCGACTGTATGTTTTTTTTGTATGCATGTTACGCAATAACTAAAATTTGTGAACCGATTTTAGTGATTCTTTTTTTGTGTGTTGGAAAGAGGGTACTTCAGATGTGGTCCCAATTAAATTTCAAGAAAATATTCCACCTCTAAGGGTGGCAAACTAGTGCTATGTGTTGTAGTATTTTTTATTACATAAAGTGTACGATGTAATTAATATATTATCGAAAAAAAAAAAATATTTTTAGAAAAATAAATTTGAAATCATCATAACTTTTTTATAAAAGAGAAACCGATCTCAAAACCTCGTGAAATTACATCTATTTGCCAAGGCTTATTGTGATTGGTTACCGGAAAGTGCGCGAAACCGGAATCATCCCCTAGTTTACCACCCTTAGAGGTGGAATATTTTCTTCAAATTTAAATGGGGCTAATACTGATGTACCCTCTTTCCAACAAAAAAGAATCTTCATAATCGGTTCCCAAATGCCGGAGTTAACGCGTAACATACATACAAAAAAGAACGTACAGAATAATTAAATACCTCCTCCTTTTTTGAAATGGGTTAAAAAAGGTTTCGTTTTATTTTTCTGAAAAATACTTTGAAAAGTCACCATAGATATATTTTTTTTAATTTCCCAATTTTAACGTTACAGGTACTATTTTATCGACGATAATTCAATGTACCGTGTATTCCAAAATTTTCCTTAACAGAACTTGTATCAGATATCACAGACAGGCTGATAGCGATGGGTTTCCCCGCGGAGAAGCTGGAAGCCGTATACAGAAACCACATAGACGAGGTGTACAGGTTCCTGGAGAATAAACACCAGAACCACTATAAGATATACAACTTGTGCTCGGAGAGGTCTTATGATTCCAGCAAGTTTCATGACCGGGTAAGTGTTTTTTTTAACGTTCATATTATTCCAAATGAAATTATTTTTTCGGATCTTATAGTAAAACTCTGATTGACTACTTTACCATCGCAGTCAGACGTAACCATGGGGCCTGTAAATGGCTTGCACCGTTGGTATGTTTGAAACAACAAACATACTCCATTTCGATCAGGAAATATAGTTTCATTTCTGTATGTACCAATCGCGAACATCTAAAGGTGTGTCTACGCTAGACAAGCCGAGCACGAGCGGAGCCGCTCTGTTCGTCGTCATTCGCGGGCTTCGCGACGTCAAGTATGGATGTACAATGAGCCTCCAACGATCATTGTCCTCGAACGTAGCTTTCCGCAGTGTGCTCGCGGGTCGTGACAAACATGGACAATTTAGCTATTGCAGCTGCTGCTGCAGCGATTATTACAGTCGAAATCAGTAAAAAAGCTAGAAAGCCAAAATGATGGCGATCTACAAATTTGTTAAGGACATATCCAGTTAACAAACAAACTTCAGACCACGGCGCACTGCGAGTGCGATGCGAACAGTGTTGCCAGATTTTGTGAAGTTAATCGTCAATTTACGTATGTTAAGTAAACGATATTCGCCTAAGCCATAAAATCCCTAAATAAGAAAGTTCATATTCCCCAATGCCCGGCAGCAGTTCCCCCACACGGCGAAATACTCAAACCCCCAAATGAGTCTATTTCAAACATGGCCTAAATATCGTTGAGTCGTCGACCACTTTTTTAGTCGCCGCGCGACCCCTTTAAGTAGTCTAAATGGCGAGAAATTGCCTAATTTGGCAACAGTGGATGCGAATGCCTTTGCGTTTGTCAAAAAAACAGACAATTGTCGGAGGACAATCCATCACGAGCCGAACGCCCGGCGCGCGCTCGTTCGAGACTCGTAAGTCAGTCTACACGGATTCGTGCTCGGCTCGTCTTACGTAGATGCACCTTAAGGACTCGATAAATACTTATTTTAGTAAATACTTAAACGAGATGCATTTCGATTACATCAATACTGCCGATTGGTTTGTTGATGTGTTGCCAGCGCGCAGTTGTGGCGTCTACAAATAGACTGCACTGGAAATTGGCAATCTTGTGACTTTTTTAATGTAAAGTAGACGAATGCTTAGCAACAATATGACAGAATGTTCAGGGATGATGTTACGCTTTTATCACCCCACATCAACCCATTGTTGGGTATATGCCTCTTCTTTAAAGCGCCAATTTTTAATGTTCTGGGCCATTTGCATCCAGCACACGGAAGAAAAAAAACAATGGAGGTGCTTTAAGCCTCGATTACTATCAGAACCGATGTCGCCAAAACTCACATATTCGTAATTTGAAACACTACAAAACTTGGTATTGATTGGTCGCAGTTTCAAATTTTAAAAAGAAATAACAATTTCTGCATTCTTAATATAATTTAAACTTTACCTTGTTGGCATATCGTTCAAAGTTCAATACCATCAATCCTATTATTACAAGTTACGACGTTTTGATATTATATTCAAAGTTCAATCAATGTGCTGCCATCTAGCTGTTCATTGCTGAACGACGACGAATTGGAGTTATTAAATACCACCATGGATAATATTTTTGGTGCGGCTACATTTTTGCATTCCAAAACAGTACAATAAGGCATTTTTCTAGGATTTTAGAGAACTTGCACGAAATAATGACACATTCATATCACACAAAGCTAGAATGGCGGACTCATATAGGTCTTTCGAGTTGAACCTATAGTTGACACCCGTCGGATGATAACTAACTACTTGTTCTGCATTTTTATGTTCTTTGATCGACTACGATCCCGCAAATCTGACGATATCGTAAATTGATTGCATTGAGCATTATTGCTATCCGAGCACGTAACGATACCTCCAATGAGCACTACGCCCGATTTACTTTTACGTCCTGTTTCTTTATTTTTGAACTTTGGGGAGCATAATATTAGTAAATAAATATGTCTGTTTACAAAAATAACACAAAATGACCAATAATGTCCATCGGGGGTTATCGATAGGACGATGTTTCACAAGAAGGGTGGAAGTGCAGTAAAATCTTCACGATTACCAACAATCGCACGACTTGTTCATCCCCGTCACTTGATATCACACAAAATGCCTATGGTTGTATAACCAGGCATAGTGGAACTAAGCGTATTTTGTTACTGCCAAATTCACAAAGAACAATGGCAAAATCATAGTCAAAAAATTCCTTAGCGTCTTCAAATGTCTTAATTATAAGTATGAATAAATAAATTAATTAGGTTTTTCAAATTATAATAGCGGCCCATCTCTGTCTGGAAATAAAATCATATTCAAAAGAAACTTTAATGCCTATTTCGTATATAACCGGACTGATATCTGCAACTATCAGTTAGTTTCTTAACGTTTTTTTTAAATATTATGTAGGCAGCAAATAAGCAAGCCCGCCTGATGGAAAGCGGTCACCGTCGCCTATGAACGCCTGCAACACCAGGGGCGTCACGAGCGCGTTGCCGACCCTTTAAGACCCTTTTCAAACCCTAATTTTGAAGGACTCCATGCAGTATTCCTGCGTTGGGCGACATCTAGCTGCCAAAACATAGTTTCAGTACCCACATATGGATATGGTCCACATTTAGCTCACGTAATATCAAATGTACTAATTCAACCATCTACTACTACTTCATTACAAAAAATAAAGTCGATAATTTCTTCTCGAAAACGCCACGCGAGCAAATGGTAAAAGTGACGAATAAGTTCTCGAAATCAGGGATAGATGGCACGTTTCACAAAAAAATTATTTGTGTCCGAGTTTCCAGTGCAATAGTCTGTGGTATATTCTTAATTAACTGTTTTTTGTTATGGCTTCAGTTCATGCTTTTTGACCAGACCAGCATACAAAATAATTTCCTCTGAACTTTCGTCACGCCGCAAACCCAAAGCAACATTCAGCTTCTATATAAATATAAATTATATGACTTCTTGCAATAAGCCGACGAAATATTGTCTTTAAAAAAGTAGAAAAAATCTACGTTACATTGTTACAATTTTTGGAAGAGAGAGTAATGGCCACCTGTGTTGACCACAACAAAAATTACCGGTGGTGTTGCTATAATGAGACTTAAAATATTTACTGTTTTATGCAACTTATTAATATTGTTATACAAATAAACTAAAACTAAACTAAATGTTTATGTTCTGTTAATGTAATTAAACATAACCTCCAAAACTTAAAACTGGAATATCTTTAATTCCAGACTTCTCAGAATAGTAAACACAAAACAAAATTTGTTCAGGAATTTCAACTCGACATTTTCGCATACAAATTATGTCAACAAAAATTTATATGGGAGTTTGCCATTGTCCTTTGTCCGGATAGCAATAATGCTCGCGTTACTGCTTGGTAGCAGAAATAATATGGCAGCAGACTCCGTGTACGATTTTTTTTGACAAGGAGCTCTACGCTACTGAAAGCGTACTAACGTTTAAATTGAATATTCTTGTACGAAATTAATGCTTGGGATTTAATTCTCATCAAAATATAATCGGAATTTTACGACTTCGGGTGGCAGTTGGCACTGTGAGTGTTAGATGATTTTGGAAACGCACTTTTCTAAATAGGTTCTAAGCGTAACTTACCTGGGTTGATTTCGTTGGATAATTATAGTTTAGGTAATAACCTAGTTTGAGACTAGTTAATTACATTACACTACAATTTAGCCTTTACCGTGTACAATTTTCTGAAACCTCACAGTTAACTAAAGTAACAAGTTACGGAATTAATTCGTAGAAATCGGACGTGTTCGGAGTTTCTTGTACAGTTATGTATCTTTCAAGGTTCTTGCATTAATTAATATTGTTACGTAGCCCTGAAACATTTGCCTAATGCTAATTAAAATAGTTAGTCGAGGAGAGGAGGTTTTTACGAAAAAGGGCCGGTATTTCTCTGAAAAAGAGCCTACCTAAATGTCACGAGAACTCTAGTTACGAGAGGATACTTCTACTCCGTGCAACCATTTATTTCACTTTTGACGTATGAATGCCTCCGAAGTTCCGTAATTATTGACATAATAACGCACACACGCACACACTCAACATAGTCCCGCACTAGGGAAACCCTGTGTCGCGGGTGCCATGGACACACACGTAGACAACCACAAATTACACCCAAACTCACGAGAGAAATAATTGTAGGCCATACAACTATTTCTCCCGGCCCGGGAATCGAACCTGGGACCTCTGCGTGGCAGTCCGGCATGGTAACCGTTTGGCCACGAAGGCAGTTACATACAACCATAGACAAAAAATGCAATACTTCCTAGACTCTATTTTTTTAATTTTAGTGAAGCGACGTGCTCTTTTAGCTCCGGTATATATCGAGCCAACAGATTATGAAAATTATTCAAATTGATAAATTTTGGCACCTGACTAATAAATTACAATGAAATGAAATGAATTATAAATAATTATAATGAATGTTTCTTGTAAATAACGGGATTTGGAACAGGATCTAAAGCCAAAGTCAAATAATCATTTATTCCATAGGTAAAATTTTTACACTAGAAAACGTCATTTTTTAAACTACTGCTCGTTCACTACGCTGACCTCCCTGAAAAGAACGATCAAGAAACTCGTAATCTCCCCATGAACGGGAATGATCACTTGAATCCTCATTAACATTAATTATTAATTCTTGAGTACACAAATTGTCAAATCACGATCCCAATCTCAATTTTTGAACCCGCTTACACACTCAACGATTTAAACTTCTTATAATAAAATCGATCAAGAAAAAATTGAATCAGAAACGCATTAGGACATCACTAATTGATTAGAATTCGAGATGTCAATAGTTAAATTAATGGTTGGACTTAGTATAGTGAAATATTTCTTATCATTAACAGCAATGGGCTTATGGTTAATACTTGATTATGGTACCATTATAATTGACGACTTTGGTGGCTGTTTGAACTGTGGGCGCTGGATTAGGAGGTACGAAGTATCCGCATGG